ACTAAACCTTTAGTTTAGTAAGCTTAATATATAGCGATTATAATATAGTTTGAATTATAACAATCTATGCAGTAATAGTTAAGAAACACTACCTTAAAAACATACTGGAATTGTAGGTTTACGAGGTTCTGTGGGTCACGTGGGGCACACTTCTATTCCGCTTCGAGCTTGCCGCCTCCAGCATCACACCTCACCCTTCGGCCTCGCTCTTTCATTCTCGGACGAAAGCTAGCATGCTCCAGATGAGAACACAGAATCCTTGCCAAGCAAGACTGCATTGGAAGTCGAAGTAGGGGTTTGACTCACAGAGTGATCTGGCCGTCATATTCTCATTTGCTGGATTCAGACACCTCATAGGCTCCGCCGAGGGCATATCTCCGCGTGAACGGACAATAACGGTCGCTCGGTCGAATGATACTTTACATACTGGGAGGCGCAAATGGGTTGACATGATGGTCACATCGAAAATGGAGAGCGCAGTAGAGACGGACTCCTGCTCGCTCTGTCGAGTGGACAAACCTTCCGCCGTATTTGCAAACACTAACATCGAATGGCTACGAGAGACGGAGTGTCGACTCAGCATTGAAACTGCTCAATCCAACTCATGCGAACAGTTGCGCTCCTTTGGTCTGGCCGCTGTCCCTGTGACCTTTCAATTGACGGAGATGTCAAAACGTGCGAGTCGCTCGGCTGGACAAGAAGACCTGGTCGCGCTCCTTAGGTCAACGAGGTGCCACCGTGTTCATGGAAGCTAGAGAGAGTATAGCTAGCTTTATGGTCACTCGCTTCATAGGCAGGCGCAACTTCAACGCCATGTTCCCATCGGCCGGCACCGAACTGCCTCAGAGCATGGAGCGTGGCTGTTACTCCCATTCATTCACTCTATGGTGGACAGGTAGGTACACTCAGATAATATGGCACGAATGCACAGTAATTCAACTGGGCACGGAAGCTGACAATTGCACAGACTTCGATTCTCACGAACGATAGGATCTCGCACAAGCACAGCACACCCTTCGTCAACCGCCCTCTCAATCAAGCCGCCATGTATCGATCTCAGGAGATGTAGACAATAGCGGTCATTCAGAGCGAGGCCATGTGTAAGTGGTGCGCTATTGCCATGGGTGAAACGTCGATATTTGAGTGAATTGATCTATTGACAATAGTTATTTATAACCGCTGCACTTGGCACCGTTGACCTATTGTTCCGTGAGTGAATGATCAAACGACAATAGAAACTTCACCTGCATTTCTATTGGTCGTTGCAAGAGCTCGAAACCTCACTTGGCCAAACCTCACTAGCATTGTCTGGCCGTTACTTAAGTGCTGTTTGCCGCCTCTACCTTCACGTTCACGCCAATCACTTTCTCACTCCGGTTTTTCGACCCATTCCCACCCAACACAGGTAAGCAAAAAACCTTTTTCCTTCGCGGCGGCGCGGTAGAGCAGAGATGGCGGGCCTTGGGGAGGCGACCTCTCCGCCAAGGGCGTGGAGTTTTTTGAGAGATGGGGAGATCGTCCTCCCAGAAGAGGCGATACAAGAGAGCCTTCGCAACCTCGCCGTCACCATCATTCGGCACAAACAGCTCATTGCGAGCCACCACGGCGTCGTAAGTATCCCTTCCATTCCCTCACCTGACCGCGGAAACTGACATATCAGGCCTTCGATGAGGGCGACCCACTTCTGCACTTTGTGTCCGTCACACACGGGCGCGCGCCCACCGCTGGGCGCCTCTTGAGGCTCGAAGACCTCAACACACAACAAGTGTTGAGCTTCCCTCACTGGGAGGGCGTCTGGTGCGCCACCATCGCCGACGTGCTCTCCATGCACGACGAAACGCTCGAGGCGCCGAGCAGCAAGCTCATGCACAACCACGGAAGCACGAGCCACGAGAGCGATGCTCCATTCACTGTCGCCCACATGCAAGCCCTGCTGAGAGATATTTGGGCACAGATCACCGACCCACGTTTCGTCGGCCCACTCGAAGTTGCGGTGAGAATCCACGAGCACGCGCAGACTTTCCGCAAGGCAGACCTCGACTACACCTTTCAGCAGACCTTCGTCGAAGTTTGGGAGAGATACTCGATGCAGGAGAAGACCGACATACTCAACAACACTCTCGGAATGCTCGACGTCGCTCACATGAGACCGGAGGAGATACATGAAGATCTTCGAGTCCACTGCTTTCCAAAGATCATTCAAGCCAGTCACGAGGAGCTCGGCATTCCATACACAGGACCCGCCCAAGGCGAGCCGTACAACCAGCAACAAGCACCAGAGCCAGCACTCCCACCCGCCGATGAGAACACATGCTGCTGCCCACCGAACTGCGCCTGTCGCATCGTCTGTCAGTACGGTATTCACGAGTGCGAATGCAAGGCGAGAAGAAGCAAGACTAGATCAGCACCAGCACCCACTCCTGAAGCTTCTTCATCTCCAGCGCCACCACCGCCTCCAGCGAGCGGCAGTTCACGTCCACGCGGCAATACGACAGGCAGCCATCGCTTCCACCATCCTCAAGGCGCGCACCAGCCTCCCCGCCGCCAACCGCTCAAGGACGTCTACCCAACAGATTTCTACCTGTCGCGAGGTTCTGGCCGTTATCCAGCCTTCAGTTCCAGTCCTCCAGAATCTCAGCCGGCGACTTTCGCGAGTTCATCTTCCCCATTCCATCCACCGGCAGCGAGGACCACACCAGCACCTCCTGAGCATCAGCCGGCGACTTTCGCGACGTCATCTTCTCCATTCCATCCACCACGAGAGAGGATCACACCAGCACCTCCAGCTCACTTCCCACCGCCATCGAGTACCACACAGTCGCCGCTCGATCTCTTCCCACCGCCAGCGAGAGCCACACTAGCGCCTTTCACGCCGCCACCGAGGACCACACCAGCACCTCTGTCTCTCTTCCCATCGACAGCAAGAACCACACCAGCACCTCCAGCTCACTCTCCACCACGCACACCAGAAGAGACCTCAGCACCATCCCGTCCGAGCCTCACCAACAGACGTCTCGTCTCCGCCGGCGGCAACCTTCCACTCTCCGCACGCCCATCTATCCCAGAAACCTACTTGCCGGCAGCGCCAGCAGAGCGCGGATTTTCCATTTCCAGAGAGGAGTATGCCGCTTTGCCAACACCGAGACGCGCTCAGAATCCTGCTCCTGCCTATACTATTGGAGGAAGTGAAGCCGCGCCTTCCCGCAAAAGACGCCCATCGTGGATGAAGAGAGTTTTTGGCAGTAAGAAGGGCAGTAGCGAGTAGGAGTAAGTGAGGACAAGTGAGGATGTGCGATGAGGAATGAGAGAAAATGAGGATACATGAGGGAAAATCAGGATAGAAGGATATAGATTGCATAAAAGAAGGGCTCACGCTATTGGTTGCTTAATTCCCCATTCCTCTGATTTCTCTGTGTGCTGTACTGTTTCAATGCCACTGACTGTTCAGACAGCTATTCGAGGACAGAAATAATTCTGCTGAGTTGCCGTTCATGGTCCACGTTTCTTCTTGTATCGAAGAATCTCAAAGCCATTGCGTTCCAGTCGGACTAGGCCAGGTCTCTACAGAAATCGTAGAGGCGTGGGTAGCAGATTTCTGCCTCTACCATTTGCATCAGCCCAGTGGCCATGAATGTTCGGGCCGCGAGGTGTGGTGGCGTATCAGGATTCCCGAGAAGCTCTTCAAGCCATATGAAGGCGTCCTCGCCAGGCGTAGACAGCACTGCACTGCACCAGGAAAGTATGCATTCTTGGCCGGATATCTCGTACAGGACAGCTAACATGCACTAGCTAAAATCATCGCCGTCATTGATCACTCTGTCCTGTATTTGCACAGAGTCCTGCTGCAACACGTCGGAACAACGCTTTGGTTCACGCCTCTTGTCGTAGTTGAAACGACTTGCTGACCAACGACTCTGTGCGCAAGCTGGTTGCAAATCGCCCCAACGTTATCGTCGATCAGCAACTGGACAGTCTTCTAAAATGTGTCGACCGCACTCGCACTCGTGGGCACGCCATACGACCAGCAACGATGCTTTCCACAATCAATTATATCATGGCTGAGGCAGATTGACAGTCAACACATGCTTGAAAGTGCTATTGTTAGCTAGTGTAGGCCGTCAATGCAACACCACAATTGGTGCTGTAGCTTGACCACTTGATCCTCCACTGAACTCGATGCTGAGGGTCTCAAATCGTGACAGCGCTTAGACGCCTCACAGCTGCACTGTCCAAACAGCAACACGTGTCAAGTCCGACGAGTATCCCCTAGCAGATTGTTACCTTTCGTTTCACGTCTGTCTCTTGCGCTTCGATCCTGACCCAGCGGACATTGCGTGCTTGACAGCTATGCTCAGCATTCTGCATTTGCCGCGCTCTACTGCAGTTCTACGGCACAGCTGATCCACAAAAGCAACTGAGGAGGCGCAGCATCGGTTCGACGACAGTTGTAGTCGCGATGAGTACCTTGCACTTCGGTGTAATGTCCCATTGGCTGTGTTCCAGCATTGCCACGGCGTCTCGGTTCTCTGTTGCCGTCTTCGTTACATCTATTCTGATCCGGCGGTAACATGCTGCCCAGCGATTCAGGCTGTACAATTGTCACCAGATAGCAGATATGAGAGATATGTATATGTTGGAAACCAATCCTTCGAATTCGCGCTCCAATAATTCTCAGAAGTCATCACTTCGGCCTTTGCATACCATCCCACAATCTACCAACACCTCCTACGCATCCCTTGTAGAGATCTGGAAAGAGCCAGAAAGATCTTCCTCAAACTTTGTGAATAATCGAAGCCGGAAGCCAACCAGATTCCAACGCCTTTCATAGAGCATTGAACTCGAACCTCACTCTTTCGGTAATATGGATCCATTGCCCTTCTGCCGAAGCGATCTGCTGAACAATTGCTAGCCATGTGTGTCTCAAAATTCATCAAATACACCTGCGGATGTAAGAAGGAGATGGAGTTTATCCATTGCGACGCGAGACGTGGGACCAACGTGCGTTGCCACCCAATAGAGAAACAATGGGGCAAGGACTCGACCAATTATTGTTCAAAGCATTTGGTGAAGCCGGATGCGCCAGTAAAATATTATGATCAAGATGGTAACCAGATCTAAGAGTCCTGCGATGGTGGAGAGTCTGACTTAGGTTCGAGGCAAGCAACAGAAGAACCTAACTGGCTGTCAGCCACGTCGGACGGGCAGGTTCCATGATTGGAAACGTGTATCTAGTAACCACTTATTGTCTTGGATTGAAGTATCCTCCTCTTTTGCAGGCGTACGGCATGTTCGAAGGTTCCTTCTTTCCAGCATCACTTGATTGCCACAACAGCTGAGCTTCTTGACACTCCTGGAAGTGCTCGAGAAACGATTGTCGTGAATAGACTTTATCACGAAGGCTGAAAGCAAGTTCATGGCTTCTAGTGCTCTCTTCCACAGCAAGTTGGCAGCCAGCGCAAGACACGCCGTTCTGAGCTGATTTGGACTTTGGATCGTAGTACGGTAGCGCGCAGCAAGCCATGAAATCTGTGTATGGCTGTTGCAAAAGAAGTTCTGGGGCCTCCACTCTTTTGCGTCCCTCACGTCGCGAAGCCAACTGAGCTGCTTGAGCCGAGACAAGGCTGAGTCGATTCTTGCGCGCGATCTCTTCCATAGAATATGTTCCAGGGAGAGTTTTCAAGCTGCGGAGGCTGTTCAGTGACTTGGTGGAAAGCCCGAATAGCCGCTTGACGCTTGCAATTGACATCGTCCGGGTCTCTTCAGACCGTCGCCGGAGACACGCCGAACAGCAACGAATCCAGTTGACAAGATGGACTAGATCGCCGTAACCGTCTCCGCATAGCGAGCATGACCCTTGGCATAGAAGCCGATGAAAGTCAAGTAATGTAACCCACGAAGCTGACTTTGTTCGCAGCAAGGCACAGAGGCAATTGAGCGCGTGCGTCGTGATAAGCTTGTACTCTGGCAACGAAGTCACTATCTGCCGTGCTCGCAGGTTGACTTGACGGAAGGCGAACAATGATTCCAGATCCAGCTGTAGGCAGATTGTGTTGACCAGTTCGAGTGGCAATCGATCGAGTTCTCCCAGTGAGTTCGTGGGATCGCGAGAGATGGACGATATAGATTCGGTCACGGCAGCATGCTCCCGAGCAGGAAACCAGACAACTGCAAGATCGAAGTCGGTCCTGTGGTAGGCAGCAACCCTTAGGATGTCATCGGCGTGAGCAGGCGACGTTGATGCAGCAGATGCCATTTTTCCTTCGGTCGACGACAATGGCCAATTTCTCTTGCTTGTGATGAATGTCTCGCAGACCTGGACGTTTGCGAAAGTGGAAGAAGTGACGCGACCAGACGCGTTGGTTCTGCAACCAATCAACGTCGGCGGAACATTGGAGCACTTCGACCCGCTTCTTAAAATAGTGTATTCAAAGCGCTTAATCCTAAAACACTTTCAACACATAAAGGTGAGCACATGCAGTTTTCTTGCCAAAGCAACGCATGGAACCATGTCATCAGAGCAAGATCTTCCTTCAGTACTTTCCATGGAAGTCGATGTCGAAAACGAAGATGAAAGCGAATATCGTCTCCTGGTTAACAAGCATGTCAAGTACCTTAAGGTCGCACCCAACACCTTCGAACGAGATGTTCTCTCATTTCCCCTCGAGTCCTTACCACCACTACCGTTTTCTGACCCCAGCTGGAAAGTGGCGCAAATCTTTCGTCAACCAGGGTCGAGCAAGCTGAATGTCGTATTATCGTACCGAAATCTAGCCGCAGTTCAAAATGTCTGGCACTCTATCCGCGTCGACGTGCTTGACCTGGACAAAGTCGTTCAGTTGACCGCGGCAGCGTTCGAAGCTATGCTACCAACGTCTACGATAATTTCCAGCGCATCAGCATCACATAGCTCCTCGCGGGAAGTGAGAGTGATTGCCAAAATTGCACGATTCGAGTGGGAGATTCCACGCATCGAACGAGAGACTCGCGCGTACCAGATTCTAGAACAGCAGCAAGTCGCTTCAGGGATAACTCCTCGTTTTCTTGGACATCTCCACGAGCATGGGCGTGTCATGGGCTTCATCATCGAGAAAATGGACGATCGGCAACACGCCTCTCTCAACCATTTGGAAGCATGTGAAATGGCACTTGCAGAATTTCACAAGTTCGGCCTGCATGGCGACGTGAACCGGCACAACTTCCTTGTCGGGCAAGATGGTGAGGTCACATTGCTGGACTTCGAACGCTTTGAGGAGGATGCCACAGCGGATTCGAAGGCGAAAGAGATGCAAAGTCTGAGGTCAGAATTAACAGATAATTCCGGAAGAGGAGGAGGGTTTAGATCTGGTGACTTTGTAGACTGAAGAGCTCATGGCCTGTGAGGATCGTGGACTGGAAGCACAGCATGACCGGATTTTGATCGCATGGGTGCATGGAGTATGCGCTGGCGACTGCGTCTCGAACGTCGTTCTGTTCTCTCTGTGGCTTTCATGTATGTTGTGGATTGGATGTGGGAAGCAGATCGCAAGAAGTGTTGTAAGCGGTCTGCTGAATGGTCTTGGCATGTCAATGACGCATTCATTACCACCATGCCTTCCGTTGTGCGCCTGCAACGAACACACCATCAATCATGTTGTCTGCACTGCTATCTCCTGGTTCTACCTTCTCCTCCCCCTACAGAGCGAAGCATAAAGTCTGACAAGATATCACCGTAGCAGCCATGGAACACCACCGACCGCACAAGAATACCTCGTTCGAAGGATACTACAGCAAGTTCGACCTGCCATCAGGAGCTCACCTAGCCCTGATCTGCTGTCAGGTCAGGGGCGCGAAGCATAAGCCAAATATGGTCTCGTTCACCTATGTGCCCAAAGACGACGCTGCTTCTTACTTCCAACGTGAGGTCTTCTCGGTAGAGATGAAACAAGAAGCAAGCACTGAAGACAACGGCTTCATCATTGAGATACCCGAGCTGGGCTACGTTCGATGGCATGAGAACCACACCGAGTACAAAATTCATCATTCAGAGTTCATGTTCGAAGCGAAGACTCTATCTCGTACCGCTTGGTCCAAACACGCCAATACTCCTGAAAGCTGGCTGGTCAATCTACCATTGCCTCTACATTGGCATGTGCAGTCGCTAGCATCCGAATGTGAATATAAGCTGGAAATCCATGACTACAATCTTCCATCTCAAGATCAGTCGGGTCGAGCTATGATCCACGATGAGAAGAACTGGGCAAATTCTTTTCCGTCCGCGCACATGTGGCTTCAAGCTAGAGACGGCGATCGCGGGTTCAACTGCGCTGGAGGACAAATTCTTGGAATGGAAGCCTTCCTGCTCGGATACCGGAGCAAAGATCTCGAGTTGGACTTCAGACCACCATTCGCTGTCCGCGTGCCTGGCCTAGGGCCTTTCATGACTTACACGAAGAATTGGGATGACAGGACCTTCGAATTGAGCGTGCAAAGCTTTCGACAAAAGTTGACTGTGAAGGCTTTTGCACCCAAGAACACTTTCTTCTCGTTGACTTCGCCATTTCCAGAGGGGCACAGGGAGAATTATCTCGGACAGAGCTTCAACGCGACCATTGAAGTCAAGATCTACGAGAGCGGATGGCTCAGCCCGTGGAAGTTGGTTCGCGAAGACAAATTCGAAAATGCTAGCCTGGAGTTTGGCGGTGGTTATTATCCTCCTGCTGGAAGCAGAGAACGCCTTCACTGATTCCTTTTCGACAAATGCTTATGCTGTGCAAACTATACTACATCATGCCGCGTCCGGGCCATGGAACTATACTGGTCTATACACGCCACTGCCCAGCGTTTCCGGGACCTCAGGCTCTTGCCGTGGAGAGGGTCTTTCATCTCTCAGTGGACTGATCTCAAAACTTCTCTGCCGCGGCAAATCTTGAGCAACGGAACTTCTTCTCGGAGTGTTGAGCCTTGCTGAAGGGGGTGTTCGAGGCGTCAAATTTGCTGACATCGGCGCATCGTTGCCGCCCTCTGGCCGATTCCAGGCCAGAATATGCTGATTTCGCCGCACATCTCTCGAGAGATCTTCTGGAGGGTTCTGGCGGCCAAGGATTGGAGACTCCTGGCTTACTGGGCTTCGACGAGCAGACTAGACAGTATCAGCGATGGAATCGAGAGCATGATACATTTCTCACCCACCGTGTCTTCCATTTCAATCATATGCTCCACAAACACGCTCGATCTGGAACCACTCTTCTCAAGACTGGACTTGGATGCCACCGGCGTGCCGTCGAGCATCTGAGGGTATCTTAGAGCGCCGGCTCTCAACACTGCTCCATCGTTCTCCGCTCGAGACCCGGGGTGGTACGCTTGATACCGGCTTGCATGCGCGCCATATGGGTGGTCGCCTGGGACATTGCCGAAAGGATCAGCACTCTTCTGGATTTCGGATGGACGCTGGAAACCTACACATACCCACTGTCAGACCCAGTTACGGTCCTCGCCATCTTGGTAGATACTTCGCTGTCGAGTATGAGAATGCTGCTGAGGCATGTAATACGCACCTCCTGCCGACATATAAACATCATTTGCTGTGCTTCCTGATCGCTGATGGAGGCCTGCCGTTACTGTCGTTACGTTGGGGTTGTGGTGAAAGCCATCATATGTGTCTTGTGGCGAAAGCATCGGACGTCCGACTTTGCGCTTCTCTCGTCGTTCATCGACCTTTCGCCGGTACCGCCGTGTCAGGAACGCTATCAGTAGCAGCAGGAGCGCGAGTCCTGCAATGCCACCCACAACGCCTCCTGCGATCGCTCCGATGTTGGTCCCACCTGAGCTCGAATCGGACTTTGGCTCACCACTCGCAACGGCAGCGGGATCGACTTTGTAGCATGTCACGTATGAAGCGACAAGCGCCGTACTCTCTTCGCCCGACGATTGCTCATTTCGAAGATAGCAAATTCCAGAGTCGTTGCCGACAAATGAGAACCCGACACAATCGGCTCGGTACGAACAAGACGAAAAGCACTGCCCATACCCGCCTCTATCGACTTTCACCAGCTCATACGCAGCGCCCGCATTCGTCGTTGAGCATTTGATCAAATATGGTATTCCCGCACTATCTGTAAACCGGTCCAGCGAAGCTTGCGGACACTCAGGAGGTGGAGTCGCTAATGGTGCAGTAACAGTAGAAACTGGTGTCGATGCATTCGCAGTGGAAGTCCCTGTGAGACTGGCCGACGCTGTTGTACCTGGCGTCCCAGTCGACGAGGACTGCGATTCTGTGACTGTTCTCGTTACAGTCGCTACTGTGTCACTGGATGTTGTGCGAGTCTCGCCATTGACTGTTGTGGTTCGCTCGATTACGCTGGTGGATTTGATTGTGGTTGTTCTTGTCGCGCTTACGGGAGCTCCGACGATTACGGAGCCCCCTTGGAGTTGGCGTTTCGAGACGTCTGCGGCAGGTAGCGATGCTTCTGTTGGCGTGGGGTTTGGAGGCTCTTCAGTTGCAATAGATGCGGAGTCTACTTTCTCAGAATTTATCATCGCGTCAAGCGGAACGCTTGCTTTCCTCCGGCCTCGTACTCTGCTCCTGCCCAACCATGTCGTGAATGCTGTCTGTGTTTCCGCTCCCGTTTGTGCCTCTTCAGTCGAATGTGGCGAATGCGATGATGGCAGTAATGTCGTCGTATTCAGAGCTTGCTTAATGGCTTCCGCCACGCTTGTAAGATCTGGAACATACATTCTGCCTGCTGGCAAGCCTTGCGGGACTGTGGAGTATTACAGGAGTGGAAGTTGGATGCATGAAGACGTTGCTCGAGGCAGTGGTCTGCGTTGCCGCATCTGGTGATCTGGAAGACAAAGAAAGTTGTGCCATCATCGTTGATGGCTACGGACAATGATGCTGACATCGGAACAAAGAAAGATGCGAGCTGTTCTGCTGCAAATTTCCTGTCTGTACGTGGAGTGCTGGTGCGGGGCGCTTGATGTTGTGAGATTCAGAGCTGCATAGGCGTGCAGAATTGAGGAATCTGGCTCTCTTAAAGTGCTGTTACCGATGTTCTGTCGTTGAGGTCCACGAAGATGAAGTCAGCATGCACTACTCAATAGTCACATTCCAGTGCACCAAAAGCGGCAATCATCACTTCGACCACTAATGAGAACGTCAGATTCTGAGAAGCGATTGAAACCAATTTGCGACTAATTTTTATGAAAGTGGGTGTCGCGTGGCCAACGAGCACAAAACACACTGCAGCGCGTGAGCTTTGGCTGATTGGCAGTCCCAGCCCATTCCCTTTCGGCGTCCAACTTTTCTGCTCAAGTGGCACAATTTTCCACTTGCTCTCCAAAACTTGCCTTTCCAAACGGATTACGAGCTTACCCGTTGTGCGAGCTTGGATCCCGGTATCTCAGCGCAGCAGTGCAATCACCGCCAGCTCCAACTTGAGTAAGCTCCATGAAGGGTTCCAGTGCCCTACAGCAAATCTTGCTTTGCTCGCTCAAGCTTCCTGCTTCTGACGCACAACGAAGGTGTCCTTGTCGAACTTGAACCACTTGTTGAGACGCTTACCCATGATACGAAGCATGACAGGATCAACGCTTGGATCTGGGTGAGGGCGATGGAAATTGATGCTTCCTTCACTTGCGGAATCCTTGCATGTGAAGACCGAGCCACCACTCGGTTTGACTGAGAAGCCGGCATCGATCATGGCCTTGATGAAGTCCTCCCATCTGGTATCGCACTGATGGTCGCTTCTGGCATCGTACATCTGCTGGAAGATGTCGTATGCTGCTTTGTCAACTTGGATGCGAAGGGCAAGATTATCTAAAGCTTGTGCTGCTTCAGTGACCTCGCCATCTCCTTCATTCGGGTCTCTTGGTGCTGGTTGCAGAGGTCGAGTCTTTGGTTTCACCTTCTCAGCGGGAGGTCGGAATATCTCAGCGGTTTCTTGTCCCCAGATCTCCTGTGGCGGTGTATCAGATGTCGTGAGTCGCGCCACAGCTGCAGCACGAGCTGATGCTGTTGCTTTGCTCTCTGATCAGTGGTTAGTGCATTTTCGCATTCCTTCTGGAGCCGAACGAGACTTACCTTGAGCTTTTATTGCACGAATGAGGGTAGCACGCTCGGCCATTACACCATCACGATAATCATCAGTAACCGAGAGGCTGACGATACTTAACGATCCGTCCGCGAGTATCTCAAGCCGCTCGACACCACATTCAGCCAACTGTTTCCACTGCCCGGTCCACCATCTCCTGCGCACAGCCGACCAGAAAAGCTGGAGCATTTTATGTGACTCATCGAAGATATGCAGAGCCCTCCTGTTGATACTCCTCGACTGACGTGGTACACGAAGCAGGTCCTCGAGTGGAGCAAACAAAGGCTCAAGGTTTTCGCGCTGCAGATCCCTGAAGGCTTTGAACATGATCCTGCATGCTTCATAACCCTCCCAGTGCGATGAGTCTTTGAGCTGCTCGATTGGACGATGTCGAGGTCTGTGTGATCGTATCGTGGTCAGTGCATCATCGATAGCAGTCATGCTTGACAATGCACTAAGGAGTAGTGGATCGATACGAGCCGCCTGGTCTTTCGAATTGTCCATGATCTGCTCGAGCATGCGTAAATGGTAAGCAGCTGGATAGGACAGACGTTCTTCGTAGGCCGCCAGCTCCATCAAGTGGTGTGCCAAAGGGTCCGATACGAAATTATTCATCTGGGTGTCGTAAGTGATCCGGCGCCCCGGAAGGAATTCACAGTGTTGGCCAAATGTTTCCGAGTAGAGGATAAGCGTCATGAGGCAGCTACATTGACCGCTGAACTCTTCTACTAGAGAGCGCTCAAGGCCGGCCAGTGCGACTTCGTATTTCTCCGGAAGCGGTTTGCCAACCTTGACCGGTCCACCAGGTTCCTTTAAAAGAAGCAGTATCCTCTCGGATTCAAGATGCAGGCGACGCCAGCTCTCCCAAGCCGTCAGAGGCATCAAAGCGATCTGTGCTTTGCAGCCTTGAACCTCGTCTGGTGTGGAGCCTTTGAACAGTAAGGCTCCCTCACATCGCCCAACATATTCTCGGAGATATGCTGGATCTATCTGCATCAGCCATAGTTCGTCCACCGCAGCTTTGTACCTTGCCCAAAAGCCGTCAGCAAGACCTTCCAAATCGAGCTTTGGTGGTGGTAGGCAATGTGGATTTGTACGGCCATTCTTGTCAGTCCAACCCAGTTCGTTCTTGAAGGCATTCGAAGTAAGTGTGTCCAATTCGCCACGTCCTCTGATTGCTGGAGGGATAGCGCTCAAGCCAAGACTGTCGACAAACTCGCGCAGCAGTATGGACAATTCATGCTGGGCCTGAAAGATGAGGAAAGCTCTTGGGAACCCAACGATATCCAGCCTATGGGCTGCCTCCTTCTCCCAAGAGACCAGCTGGCCAAATTGTCCACCGTACATTTGCACACAATGAGGGTTGTAAGCTGTGCGCATGTAGGGAGCTCTGAAAAAGCACTCTAGTTGTAAGCTGTCGAATGATGCCCACTCGGCTGGCTTGAAGCGAGTGCGTTGATACAGCAAAGCAAGAAGATCGCTCGCTTTTTGACTCAGAGTTTCAGCGTCGAGGTATGATAGCAAAAGGCCCTTGTGGTACTTGGTCGCGAATGTAGGGATGCTTCTTCTGGTGGTGTTTCTGCTCATCTTCCACATTCTGTACATTTTATCCATCAGAAACCCTTTGCGTGGAGCTATGTCCGGCATTGTCCGACGTATGATATCCTTGCGCTGGTCAGGAGACCTCTTTTTCCATGAGTTCACGATCGTATTGCCGTGCTTGTCAAGAAATGTTCGAGTGTAGTTCAAGTTGTTGGAAGTATTGGTCTTCAGATCAGTGATCCGTTTTGCGGCTTCTTCGTCGGTGAAGCTTCGCTCATAAGGCATTACTGCCGTGCGAACAGGCCCTACCCATTGCCCTGCACAAGTGATGCATTTGGTCATACAACCTGGCGGTGTGGCGTCCGACTTGTGTGGATAGCCCGGGTGCTTGTAACCGTACTTCGCATCAGGCTCCTCGAAGTTCAATAGCGTGGCGTAGTAGAATTCTGCGTTGTCGCCATAGTCTATTGCGAAGCCCCGCCTCGACTCTTTCGTTGCTGGCGTTGTGGCCGCCATGCGTGGCCAGTACTGCGCCGGCAGGATGACTTTGCGTGAAGGGATGTAATGACCGACTCGAAACGTCGAGTGCGTTCTAAAGGGACGGCCTCAGCGTCAGGAGATCGCCGCGGATGGCGCCATGTCGTATGCTTGCGGAATCGGTGAGGATGATTTGTGTGTTCGTGTCAGTTGGAAGAAAAGAACAAGAACCACGATGAACCAAGTCGAAGGCAAGGCACGGACTCAGTCAACTTCGAGTGGCGTCGCACCACAATTGGTCCGCATATGCTGATGATACGCGTCATTCGTCCAGAGCAAACAAATGGGCAGCAGTAGACCTCCTAACCCTATGCATGCCTGAGATGTTCGCCGACAGAAGCTGTATTCGCTGAACACGCTTCTTTCACTTACGGCATCTGAGTTGACCACATTGATCTTTATTGCACGTTGCGCAGATATTGTGGCCTGCAGATGGAGTTCAGCATCCAGGAGTGAAATGCGAAGTGAAGTCGTGGCTGCGCCTGCCAAGCAATGGCTGCAGGTATCGTGCAGCGCGGTTCACGGGGGCCTAACTTGGGCTGCAAACCCTCGAAGGGCAAGTGCAGGCAGATGTTGCAATGAGGAACGATGTGCACAGTACATACTGGCGCCATGTACACCTGTCCTGCGAAGGTGCGCAAGCATACACCAAGGCCTGAAGTCTCCTCGAGCCCGAAAGCAAAAGTCCTGAATGAGCTCCATCGAGACCGACGCTGTGCGTCAACCGTTAGCTTCAGTGATCTTACCTTCGCAACAAGCGCAGCTCTCCATATCTCCCCATCGGGCAATTGCTGGTGGCAAAATAACAGCCGTCTGAAGAAGCAAAAGTCTAGCAACTTCCACAAGTCGAATTCGAGCCCCTGACCCGTGCGGAATGCAAAACGACAGAAGTTGCAGGCTCTTGACTGTCCCTTGCCGGTACTCCGAGAATTACTTGGCTTCTGTCTTCACTAAGCAGTATTTCAGCTTGGTCGTAACTGCTGCCAACTTGCCACGCGCAGGTATGCCGGATACAAAGCCCAATCTGGAGAGTGGAAGTATGCGTCGAGGCGGTGCATGATTTAGGCAGCCAGTCATGAGAAGCATGAACGTGTTTAGTTCGATCGCAAGTGACTAAAGCGTAGAAGAAGCGCTCGAACGACCTGATGCGACTGTTAGCCAAGATATCGAGGAGGCGACCCCAAATGGGACGGGTTGCCGCACTGAGCTGTACCAAGCAAGACTGTTCACACAACTTCGCTGCGATGAGCTCTAGATCCAAATATTGTTTCGCGTGATAGATCTCAGTTTCAGCAGCAGCTGCTGCGCAATCCTCACTTATCGCCCCTTCCTGGCTTGCTCACAGTTCACAAATCATGGCAATTACGAGAGTAGCGCCGCCATGCCATATTGAGCGAGTTCTGCGCACCGCATCGATCTTCGGAAGAGCAGGAGCACGCAGGGGGCGGCGTGGAAGTAACTGCCCGTTCGTCCACTTGCTGTACGATGGTAGTGCCTCATTCGGAGTCAAGAAGTGGTCGTCATGGCCAATATCACTCGCAGAGTGCTGGTAGACCTGTCTTCGGCAAGCAGGCAGTGCGCTGTGCTGTGGATCCATTTCTGCTCAATACAGCAGGCCAGCACCGTATAGCATGTGAACTCCAGCCCCGGCACCCTTCCCGTAGCGCACGGCAGACTCAAGGCATGGCTTCTCCGGTTGCTGCTCTCATTTCTTGTAGCTTCCACTCGGACGAAGGTTGGCAAATAGACTGTCACAATCCAGATCATCTTGGAAGCCTCTTTTGGCCCTTCGTGGAAGTTGAAGATACGTATCTTATAGCGGGTACTTGCAAACTCCGGATACCAAGTCATAGCATGCCTCTGCTATCTCGGCTTGCCGGATAACTCCAGGCAAGGATGTGACTCGGACACTCATGTTGCCGTTCGGATACTCCTTGAAGAATTGTTGGTTCCTGCTGCTGACGGATACAACGTGGCCGTTGCTCATATTGAGCAAGGAGAAGGTGTGATCGGATAGACGTTGGATGTGTCCGGGTTGCTGGAAAGCATAGCAGTGCAAGGTTTCCCAGTTAGGTTCGGAGACCAGACCATTGTCGATGGAAAGTCTTACTCCTTAGGGGGCTCAAGCCGATGACCATCACCGAGTCTCATCCTTTTAACGGAGTTGATATCTGAGGCATTCCGTGCTGCCATGATGTAGTCTTGAAGCCAGGACATGGACAGCGCCAACATATATGTTCTCTATTTCCGGAAATACGTGCCAGTAGACAACCGTTGTTGACAGCTTGGCGAGTCATGTCTAGACCCAAAACCGTGAAAGCTGAAACGCAACCCCAACATCTCCGACAGCTTCACGTGCCAAGGAGCGACAGACTAGCAAGGATTCGGTGGCTTAAGCCGATGACGGATAACAGGAGCGGGCACGTCTCACGGTGTATAGATTCATGCATCTTGCTTGCTCGGGCTATCCTAAGAAGACAGTAGATCGTCCAGCTTTTGCATGATCCGCAATACTCAAATGCGGGAGCTTGCCTCCTGTCCATCTTCTTGACCTTGTTCACCGCTGCCCGACTTTCGCTTCAGCTTCAACACTCACTATGGCGCCTTCGCCGAAGAAGAAGAAACTCAATAATGGCAGTGTTCGCAAGACGAGCTCTGTCGCATCCGGGCATTCGCGCAATTCTTCAGTCAGCAAGACCGAGGTGATCATCAATGTCTACGACCTCTTACCTGTAATTCCTCCACATCTTGACTCGCAACTCGGAGAGACACTAATTGAACATCTAGCCCGGCAGACTCTCCTCGCTACTCTGGACAATCGGCGGCAGTCTCCTCCACTCGGGAGTAGTCATTAACGATCGCGAATACGCCTACGGCGGCCACAACAAACGCGGTGTCACAGGCGTCTACTACACGCGACCGAAATACGAGCCTCCGGGAGGCACACACCGCATCAGCATCCTGCAAGGCTTCACGTTCCATTCCCCGCACGAAGTCGAGCGCATCATCAAGGAAGTCAGCGACGAGTTCCTGGGCCCGAGCTATAACCTCTTGACACACAATTGCAACCACTTCACTTCGGCGCTGGTCACGGCATTGACAGGGAAAGCTGCGCCGGCATGGCTCAATCGCGCAGCTTCGATAGGATTGGCATTACCTTGTATGGTTCCGCGCGAATGGATTTCTCCGCCGGACGTGGAAACAGCAGACGGCGCATTGCTGGAGGATCAAGAGGAGCATGACGACGACGATGCGATTGAGACGGCACATTACAAAGACGACGACGATGACGACGCTGATGAAAGAGCGAGTATGTTGGAAACAGAACGACATGCGCGCTTGAGAGAAGAGCAGAGACGAGCACGAGAGGAAGAGCTGAGATATCGGAAAGAGAAGAGGATGAGCATGAAGAGCGGTGGAGCAAGCAGGATGAGCAATGCAAGTCTTGCGAGGGACAATGGGAGGAAAGGAAGCGCAACGAGTAGTTCTGCGGAAGAGGACAGTGAAGAACAAAGTCTCGCTGGCGGACCACGGATAACGACAACTGATGAGCCGCCTCCGCGCTTTGTGAAGAGGACGGATAGTCAAGGCAGAGAGCTACCTGTGGCTGAAAGAGCACCATTGCCAAGGTCTGCTTCGAGCGCTTCGGCGAGTAAGAGTTGAGATGGGCAAGACAGTTTCTTTGAATTGGATATTCTCTTGGGGAGGTTTATTTTGTTTATTGAGATACCCACGCATGCGATCGCTATATTAATCGAGATATTGGAGCTCAGGCAGCATATTCATCGACCCAGACTGCTAAGACTGCATTCTTATGATAATTCACATCTTCAACAGAAGGGTAATGAGGACGAAGATGGTCACGTTCAACAGAGTCACACACATATCTCGTTGAATAGATTAGGGTCGGTGGGTTCAGATATCGATTTGACGAAAAGACTGATGGAAATCAGTCAAAGAAGCAAAACGAAACGTTCATCCTTGACAGGTGCGATGGAACCAGACTACTGGTCCGGGCAGTTCTAAGTCTGCTACGGACTCGTGCTACTTTCTCGACCAAGCATTCCTGAACATCAAGAGCGACTTACTAGTGTTTCCACTAGACCAAGGATGGTCGTTGGTGAGCAAACTCGCGAGCGTGGCTATAATTCCTGGGCAGGGGCAGTGAGCAAGGGATGAGTAGATCGGTGGGTGGGTTGGCCAAGAAGGGGATGATCTTGGTATTGAGTGGCATTGATTCTGTTTGTCGTAAGACAGAGGAAAGAATTAAACTCTTCTAGAGTATAATTACTAAGTCTATTATAGTTACTAGTAGTAGAGGAAGGCATTTTAAAGTAGTTCGAGTAATATACTATAGTAGTATAAGTTAAATAGTTTAGAGTTAGTAATGAGCTCCCATCCCAATTCTTTCCAACCGTCGATGCGATATGTTGCTACAAGCATCGCAACTCTCATCTCTTTTCGCTTCGACTTATAAAGCAGCCATTGAACTCCTCGCTAAGCATGACAGCCATAAAATTCTACACCCGTCCCCGCAACACATCGAAAGCTCACTACGCTCTCAAATTCAGCGTCTTCCTCTTTCCCAAAGCAGACGTAGTCCTGACATGCACTGGTCTCTCAACACTCCCATTCTCCTTCCTCACATCCTCGACACTACTCTCTCCTGCTGCACCATAAAATCTCTCCGCAATCCTCTCTCGATGCCGCACCAAATTCTCAACCCTCCTCAACCCCTCCGCCAAAGGGTTGTGTGTCCACTCCAACCCGTCATTCAGCACCAAATGCAAATAAGCAAAAACACTCGCATCGAATAGACCCGGCCTCTCAACTCCAAAAAACCACTCCTTCTCCCCCAATAGCTGACTCAAAGCCTGAAACGCCTCTTCAGCTTCTTTCAACAAAACATCCGCGTCAACAACATTAGTCCCCGCGCTCTTGACCAATTCCTCCTCAGCCGCAGCACGTAATTGCCTCGTGATCGTAAAGCGAACAAGAGAATGATTCGAGCAAGGCGAGACGTATAATCGTTGCATAAGAGCGTCGTTTTCCGGAGCGAGGTATAATTGATAAAGCCAGGCTTTTCGTATCCGATTATCGATGAGAGACTGGTAGGCTTCGAGACGAATGTCGCTGGGTTCAGAGGAAGAAGTGGAGTTTTGTGTATTCGCGAGCCATTTTTGAAGTTTGTTCGCTGGAATTGGATCGGGTATTTTCGAATCGCCGGTGCTGCTCGAAGTCGTTGCAGGTTGAAGGAAAGGCAACGAGCCCGAAGGAGAAGCGTGGTTGTTCGAGGAAACGAGAGAAAATGGGACGTCTCTGAAACGGAGATATGTCTGTCGGGTATAGCAATTCTATCGTCAGCCTCAATTTCACCACCGATCCATTCTTTATCCAATGTGACCATTTCTTCAGACAGGATCTGCGGTTTCTTACCTGCCACTTCAAACATCCCGGATTAAAACTCGGCCTCCCACCTCTGATATCCTCTTCCTGTGCAAAAACATGCAAAACATTCCCCTGTCTCTGCTTCTGATCCGGCGCTCTTGCCGGTAAAGCATTTCTCTCATACTCTCTTGGCGGAAAGAGATCGAACACGCGCTTCACAGGCGCAGGCAGCGCGAACCAGCTCTGCGGTTTCGATCGAACGACGGGAGCGTTAGAACTTGTGGTGAGGGGTACAACGCGAGGTTGACCATCGGAAGGAGTGTCATCGTTGGACATGGTATGCATCCATTGCTGTCAAAGCAAAGCAGGAAGCAAAGAGAAGAAAGAAGTGGAATGCGTGAAGCAGTGACGGAGTGCAGCCAGACGTCGGAGGTGCCATGTGCTTCGCCGCTTTTCCGAAACAGACCGAATGTGGTCCGAGCAGCGATGTGTAGACAGGCAGCACGATTCTCGAAACAACATATCAAAAGCAGAAGCAATACAAGCGATGAATGAACTGGTGGAACACAGAAATTCAAGGATGTCCATGCTAGGTGCCATTTTGAGTTTCTACGTCTTCCCTTCCTCTCTTCATACCACAACAAGTTTGAATTCGAGGAGTGGTTGACAACCCTCGTCGAGGACCAGCTTGTCCTGTGATGGTGTTGGGGCAGGTACTCAACCATGCCATATGTACTGTGAGTCTTTTTGTCACCTCCACCGCCTTGCTTCTGCGGCTGCTTCTATGTACCAGGTGACTGCTTTTTTTTGTTTTCGCTCCGACTATGCTCGCTAGATGCTTCTTTCGTCATTCATACAACAATCTCCTATGCAAATCATTTCTTCATAATGCTCACTTGATGGGCTACATCGCAGTGGCAACGGTCTTCCCCGTGCTCGGAGCAAGCGAGCCTTCGATACGTTGCTTGGCGCGCTGCTTCTCTTCTTCAGTTGGGTTGGCCTTTGGCTGATCTGGCAAATGTGGCGCATGGCCAGTCGTGCGGCCGATTGACATGCCAACGCGGACCTACCAGACAGTCAGCAAAAGTGCAACTACAGTGGATACGATTGATACTCACCAAGGTCTCAAGAGCACCACTACTGTTTGCAACCAGGTCTTCGTCGAACTTCATCACGCCGGGCTCGAAGAGCACAAGCAGAGTAGATCCTCCAAACTTGAAGTATCCCAGTTCTTCTGCCCTCTTGACCTGATCACCCTTCTTGCGCGTGATGACAGTAGACCCGACCATCATCGCTCCAACGCAGATGACCATTACACGTCCATGGCAGGTCGAGTCAATGGGTACAACAACGCGAATATTCTCGCCATACACATCCAGCGCAGAGCGAATGGCCATGGGGTTGACTGTGTAGTACTCGCCATCGATCAACTTGGGCTCGCCCATGACACCATCGACTGGGATGTGGAAGCGATGGTAGTCTTGGGGAGCCAGGCGGAAGATGCCTAGAGCACCGTTGTGATAGCGCTTGGCATCTTGTGGGTAAGCATCGCCGAGCAGTCGCTCGATGTTGAATTCGCGGCCTTTGACCCAGATACGCTGCGCGTCGTCCATGCGATTGAACACGACTGAACGGCAATCAGCCGGGCTGACAATGATGTGCTGGTCATTGGGAGCCGAGCACGGACGAGCTCCAGGCTTCAGCTCGCGGTAAAAGAACTCATTGAAGGTCTTGAACTTCTCCGTTGGCAACAGGACCTCACTCATGTCAAGCTGATGGAAATTGATGAAACCAGCGATTTGGGAAGCTGAAGCAGGATCATCGTACTTCCGTCCTTGTTTGAAGGACATAGAGCGGAGCAGCTTTCGCACTCTCTTCTTCTCCATCTCTCTGCTCTTGAGGCCCTTGTAGAGAAGACGAATTCCAAGACGTACGTATATGCTCATGCGCTCCTCATTGATCTGGCCAGTGATGCGATCCTGTACAAGGATGTTGGCACTATTCGCGCCCAGCTTGTAGCCTCCGTAAGACACTTTCGTGATGATCTTAGAGTACCACTTTCGTTGTGCTTGGGAGCTAGTGACGAAGCCAGCCATGACCAGATTGTTCACAGCTCGCCAATCGCTGCTCGCACATGTTGCAATGTGCGTGATGATATCGGCATCAGTCGTTTTGCGGCCCCTAGCAATTCTCGGCTGATGGCAGATCGGGCATTCAGAGATCTCGACCACATGCTCCTCCTTGGTGTCCGGATCGCCACCGAGCTCTTCTTCGCCAGCTTCGAGATAGTCTCCCATCTCACCGCTGTCACCAAGGTCACTTACTTCCAGTGCCGGAATCGAAGTCTTGGACGGATGCATGTTGAGAGGGTCGGATGCGTCAAGGTAAGGTGTTCCGCCTCCTGGGCTATAGTCTGGCGAGCTCGAACTGTTTGTGGCCATTGTCAGTTGTGACGTGGAAGTGGATGGGTCCGATTGTCCTGAGCGATGAGCAGAGCCGTTGTGCAAGTCTTGAAGCTTCATGAGCTGCTCCTCCAAACAAATCACCGCTTGGTCCATAGTGAGGTACTCCTCGCCGTTGACATGCGCCCAACGCTTGAAAAAGCCGTCGATTGTCTTGTTGTGGAGGGTACTGCCTAGCGTATCCAGCATGGTGACGAGCTCGATTTTGTCAATTCTCCCGCTTTCATCAGCATCGTACTGTCGCAAAAGAACACGCCAGAACTGCTGCCGCAGAGCGCGGTACGGCAAATATTTGGCTCGGATGTACAAGACAGGATGATATCTTCCCTCCCAGCGCTGCGCGTTCTTGAGCTCCAGAGGCAACTCGAAGGAGTGCATTCCAGCTTCATCACTAAGGTCAAGGGCGTTCTGATCCTCCTGACTAGTGAGGTGGCCGCTGCTGGCCATTCGCCTCGCAGCCAGTTTCGCTTGGTGTGGCACAGCAGTATCAGACCCGCCGTGCTGCAACTGAGGACGAGATGCCTCAACCTGTTGCATACCGCTGAGATTGCCGCTGCTCGAAGACTTCGACAACTTGTTCAAATTGGTGCTAGAACTGTTCTTGCTTCCCAACTTTGGCAGATCATTGCGGCTTGCGCTCCTAGAAAGGGGGTTACGGAATCTTTTGCGTTTCGACTCGCTTTGGTCGCCTTCGATCGAAGCCTCCGGATCTGGTAGCCTGTACAATCCGGTCTCAGGATCAGCCTCTGGAGCGAGCTCGCGCGCCTTCTCCAGCGGAAAGCTAGCAGTACCAACAAAATCGTTGCCAGAGAACTTGTCGCGATCAACCACCGCAAAGTAGAGACTGTAATTTTGCTCGCTCTTTTGAACTTGGAACACCAACTTCTCATCGAAGACTGGGTTGAGGTCATGCCTGATGACACGAGTGCGGTAGGTCTTTCGACCTAACGAAGTGACCACAAACGGATCCATGTCAAAAGTGGTCTTTGTGACGTTCTTCTCGGGAGGAAGGTCTGTAACTCTGTTGACTTCCAGGTACAGCACTCCAGCCACATCTGATGCAGCACCGAACTCGTATGCGCTCGTCTTCTTCTTACGTCGTAGGCGCCTGAGCTTTCTACGACGTCTAGAGCGTTGCTTCTCCTCCGAAGTGCCGCTAGGTGTTCTTGTGCCATCATCTGTCTCGTCCGAGGGATCTTTATCGTCATCATCCTCCTCTTCGAGATCGTCCAAGTTGCTGCTATTCATTCTTCTCAGAAGCTCTTCGTCCTCGTCATCTTCATCGTCTTGCTCAGGATCTGACACGATTCCCTGGAACCTTTGCAGTATCTGCTGTGGCGTAGCTGCGCTGTTGATCGGGTCGGAAAGCTTGAATTGGAGCAAGATCTCGCCAGAAATGTTACTATCCTTTTTCTGCTTCCGTCTGCCGTTGCGTCTGCCCTCGAGCTTGAACCATCTCGGCTCGGGGGTGATATTTCCTGCAGCAAACACCTCTTCCAAGACGATGTCGAATTCGCCCATGTAATCGTTCCTGAAGCGGTCTTTGTCCCAGCACACTGCTTCGAGCAATGCAGAGTCGGGGGAATTGACTGGAAATTGAAATGTCTGATTCCATTCTGGATTCAAAGACTTGTTGACAACGCTGGTTGCCTCCTTGTGATCGCCCAATGTGAGTACGAGGAACGGATCAGAGAAGCCGCTCTTGTCCTTCGCAGCGAGGTTGCGTCCTTTGAGTACCTGCACCACCAATTGCAGCCCCATGCCCATGTGGTCGCCTTCCAGCGGCCGACCTGGAGTTCGCGGAGCACCGGCCATGATGTAACCGGAGCTGGGATTCTGTGCAGCTGGCGGGGTGGACGGAGCAGAAGAGTTGGCACTGCCAGTGTTGCTGCTGCTCTTGATCCTCTTGAGGGAAATGTGGGATGGAAGGTGAGGGCGAGGCATGGTGAGCAGGGGAGCGCCGTCCGGCAGCGTTTGCTGGTTGGCCTCAGGTGTCACAGAACAGCAGGTCAAACGCACGTAGGGGAAGCTGGGAAGGCTGCCTCAGCCTCAGCAGGTGACGTTTGAGGAAGAGGGATTCAATGCTGTTGGCTGAGGCGCCCTCAGGAGGATGTGTCTTTGTCGTTTCGCCTCGGCCGCCAGGGCGCAGCTCGCATAGGAATGACGCTGCAGTAGGATCCAAATCAATCAATAAATGTGGGAGAACGAAGGGAATGCAATGCCGGGCCAAGAGGACGAAGAGGACGACGCGAGCATCGCGGGAAGATCAGCGCGGTGCGATTGTGGGGTGGGCTGTGACGGCGGCGCGGGCAGAGGCAGGAACTGTTCGTCCAAACGAGCACTAAAGAAGCCTCCGCCGAACGGCCACCGCTGCTACGCGTGTCCTCCTCGCTGCAGGTCCGAAAATGCCGCATGGCCTCCTCGGGCAGCGCCCTCTGTGCCTGTCCGGGTGATGTCCTGCTCACAGATCCTCCGCCGCGCGGGACGACGTGATGCTGACCCTCATTCGTTGCGCTCATCGAGCAAGGATGGAGCTGCGCGCCGAAAGTCTGTCGAGATGCTCGAGCTTCTCGATCTCTTGCAGAATGCTGGGCGGGGCGACGCCACGGGCGACAATGAGAGGTCGGCAGCTGTAGAAGGCGGCATCTGATGGCCATGCTGACAATTCTGCACTACTCACGATGTTCTCAGATGTACCGGGACACGGCTCATGACATAGATGGAAATGGAACTTGGATCCACGGTCTCTGACGGATCCGTGGCGCGACGCTGACGAAAGAAAATGGATAAACTTAGCTGTTCATCCCTCCGGATACCGTGGGGTAGACAAGATGTGTGCAGACTCCGCGATCTCGTATCCCAACATTGTTTTGAGGCCTTCGGAGCCAGGCAAAGACAATCAGGCTAATGGGACAAGGTCGTGATCCAGAATGGGAACCAGCAACCAGGTAGCAGTACCTTTCCGGCATGCTGACGCGTACCAGAGCCTCGATACCTATTTCTGTGACGAAAACGAACGTCCGCCTTCATGCACAGTAAGCTGCCATGCGAGCTCTGGATAGAGCTCCATGAACGAATCGTGCTCGGCCATTGCTTAAGTATGCTAGTACGAACGGTCGATGACCTTGGCCATGTAGACCCATGGAGCTTCCATGAAATTGTCCGAATTGACAGAAGAACACAATATATTGGTCAGCCTTGGAAAGGGAACAAGAACAACGTGCAACCATAATGAACGATCGCGAGGACTTGTTCAGTAAGAAGTAGTACAGCGCTTTTGCGGCTTCTCTCGGTCAGCTAGTACGAGTGGCTCATAGATACAATTGCCAACCTCTCAAGCTCCCTCAGCCACTGGCATTCGACACCATGCATGCAAGCAGCATTCAGGCGAAATTTTGCTATATGCTTAGAGCCATGATACTGTTGACAATGTCGTTGTCATTCTCCTTGAGCGCCTTCACAGCCTTCTTCCGGCTGACGCTAGCCTGAGCCATCACGAGCTCGATGTCCTTGGCCTCGAGACCAGTGTCGTCAACCTCCTCGCCATCGTCCTCTTCCTCCTCAGCCTTCTTGTCAGCACCGCCCTCAACGGCCTTGCCCTTGTCGCCGTCAGCGGAGTGGTCGTGACCGGCCTCGTTGGCGGCCTGGCTGGCGAGCTGCTGGGCAGCGGAAGCCTGAGCCTGGGAGTTCAAGTCCTCAATCTTGGCCTCGCCGAAGATGCTATATCTGTTGTCAGCCATTGTGTTCTTCCCCGCGGTTGTTTCAATATCAATCTGCTCTTACATCCAGGTGTTGCTGTTTGGTGACTTGTAGACATCTGGGTTGCTGATGACGAAGAGGATGTTCTTTGGTCGGCGCAGAGTCACGCGGGTGATGCCCTCGACGTGCTTCAATCCGAGCTTCGCAATGGCCTTGCGGGCCTTCTTCTCGTTTCTGCTGTGCACGGCAACCGAAGCGCCTGCTGGGATGTTGGCCTCGCCCTCCTCATCAGAGTCAGAGGACTCCTCCTCGACCTCTTGGACCTTCTTTTCCTCGTCTGGAAGCTCTTCGACACGTGGGTTGGCCATGATGGGCGGTTTCGAGGCGGAAGTGCGAAGCTTTGCGATTCGTTAGCTACTGCTGCGTCGCCGAACAAGCGAGGTGTCGTGCGGAATCTGGTCAAGATCGTGCGCACTTTACGAGAGTACTCACGGGTTTGAAGATTGTTTGCGGGCTGGACGTGTCGTCTGCTCAGTTCCAAAGTTCACAAGTGGTGATGCTGTGGTGCCAAGCACAAAATGAGTGCCTTGTGGGGCCACTTAAAGCCGCTTTTGCAGCGCTTCACATGTACAGTCGCAAGAACGTCACAAGTACAGAACGATACAATAAGAAATAGAGAACGATTGGAGATTTTGACAGTTTCACGTTACGACATCTGCGGGGCCTTCTGAGGACCATGCTTGAACCGCTATCAAAAGCCTGAAGACAGCCGCTTCTTCCACCTTGCGCCAGCCGTTCGCCCAGATGGCTGAAGCCAGTCTATCTTGTTCCAAGTGAGATGCATGCGCTTCCGTTCTAGTGCTGTCATGATGCGAGAGGGTATTTAGCATCTTCATCTCGCAATCTATGCAGCCTTCGCAGTAGCAAGAGCCTTGCGGGTCTCGAAGCGAGCCTGTTTGCTGTTAGTGCCCATTCCTGCTTTTTGCCAACGTAGGTGTTCATCGCAGCACTGCGCATGCCTGCGAGACACATGTCCAACGTACCTGCTTCCTCAGGCGCATCACCTTGAAGCGCTCGAAATCGTTCAACTGCTTTCTCCGGGTGGCCTTCTCAATCTTCTTGGCATATGGGCTCTCCGTCCACTTCTTGTCCACACCGAACTCCTCCCATTGCTTCGAAAGAGCAGTCACACCAGCACCGAGAGCGATCTTTGGGATGACGAGTCCAGTGAGCGAGAGCGAGGAGATTGGGGCGGAGTGACGTGGAGTCGCGAGCTCGGAGACCTTCGATGGGCCATCGACGAGGACCTGTACGCTGTGAGTCTATGCACTCTTTCTCTTCCTAGTTCTCGCCTCCAGTTGTGCTCGGGAAGTGTGCACATACGCGCTTGTGGTCGATGATCTGGACAATGGCGGCAATTCTGCCAGCGTATGGGCCGCTGCCGAAGTGAACGACACGGCCGACCTCGACCTGTCTCCAGGATGGTGCTACGACGGAGGAATCGCCCATTGTGTCGGTCGGTCGGTAATCGTTGGGTGAGTTGTCGGGGTCGTGAAAGGTATCGCTGTCGTTCGACGCAACTTTGCGGTGTTCGGACACACAGAATTACAGATGCTTGGCGGCAGGCACGGCCGGGCCGCGCTAGTGGGTCGCCCCGACCACTTCTCAGATTCCGTTCCACAGAACTTTCTCTTCTCCTGCTTCACCACCACAACAATGTTTGCGCCCTCACAATTCGCAGGCTGCATCTGTGCATCACACATCCAGGTAAGCTCTTGGATCCCGATCTCATTTTCGCACAAAGATGATATAATTTGCGACTGATGGCAGTAGCCTGAGCGCCTCGCCGGGTGCTCGCTAAGGGCACTGTCTATTTGATATTCAATTCTTACATATACTGATCCACAAGCGTTTCCGCCTACTTGCAACATCCTGCGAAACTCTGGTGCAGAATGCAAGCTAACATGCGAAAGATACAGGATCTGGTCTGCCCACACGATATGCACGGATGAGCCCACTTCCAGACTGTGAGGTACGTGACCCCATTTCATTCTCCCTCTTCCTATGATTAAAAACTACAACGCACTAGATAGTAATTGAGCCTTTACGGCGCTGATCACTCTTTACACCAAGATCACTGAGGAAAACCCAAAAACACATCTGCTCATGTCTGAACATGTCCTGATGAGCATGTGCTAACCAGCATGTCACAGATCTATTCCAATACATGATCAGAGAGGCATTCCGCACTCTGTACCAGGTCTTCTCTGCAGCCGCATGGCCACACCTGATGGACTCACGCCCTTGAGGATACGTGGCAAACGCCGCGGTGCTCCCAGCGAGAAGTGGAATGCTGGCAAACGTCGTCGGCCAGAGCTACAGAAACGGCACAACTCTGTCGATATCGCCAAGGCCGACGAATCGCGATCTGCAAAGCTACGCCTTCGTAAAAGCCGTGAGTCCGACGACGACTCGCCGCTCGAGACCTTGCCAGCAGAAGTCTTGCAGCAGATCTTCGAATATGCAGGTAACGTGGACCTGGCAGTAGTGTCTCGTCAGCTTGCTGCGAAGCTTTCCAAGAGCCATCATCTGCAGTACGAACTTACAACACGCCTTCTTGAGCCTGTCCTCGATCCTGCAGATGGTTCCGAGCCCAGCGCTGCAGAGCTGCATGCTGCTACCCGTCTGCTCGACTCGAGATTCATGACCTGGCGATTTTTCACAGCATGGCTGCGTCGCCAGACCAACGTCGCGCTCACGGGAACCTCTGACGACGAGCCCAATTTCAACGAGCTATGGAAAGCCCTCCGGCCTGATCATGCTCTGTTGCCACCAAGAAAGCTTTTCCTCCCGCCATTCACCACAGAGAAAGTGTCTTTCATGTCACTTCTACTTCAAAACGTGAACGACATCACGCTCCTTGACGCCTCTTACGGAGAGATTGCATATGAAGGTCTTGTCGCGGCCATCCAGTCTGACATGCCAGACCTGGTCTTCTTGTTCCTTGGTGTAGGGCTGAACAGCGACACAGAACTTTTGCGAACTGCTGTTGAGGCTGGCTGCAATCAGGAGATTGTGCAAATGCTTGTAGATTCTGACGCTGCGAGACAGCGAGCCGCCGGTAGGTCGAAAGGCGAGGTCGATTTGCTGGATCCAGCCATATGGGCTTGGGCTGAGCACGCTCGCAAGCACGGCAATGATCGGGGAGAGTGGCTCGTTTCTTATCTTCAAGCACGCCAGCGCAAAATCGTCCCATCACGCTAAATACTACTCCACTTCACAATTGACTACATGCAATCCTCGTCATCTCTTATTCTTCTTTCTTTCGTAGATATTTTTCCTACATTCGCAGGATTTGTGCTGATAATTTCCACCATCCTCGGACTGAGCCAAGTTTTGATCTTCCGGTGCGGCTGTGGCTGGTTTCCCCGCGAGACAAATTTACACCTCGCTCCCAAATCGCATCGACGCTTCTCGCCATTCGACCAATCCCCCGAAGTCGTCGCTCAACGACATGAAGTCAAGACGCCACTAGCATGAACCCGCGAAGGGAGTACCACGCGATGGAAGAGCATGTGGCGTCAGCTCAAGCTTTGTCGCGGTCTTCAACGCTTATTATTTAGTCCATGGCCTGCTCACTACTGCTTACTCTTCCAGTTTTTCCGAGGCAACAATAGCACTTTTCTCTCAACGTTTCAAATTGCACAGGCACATCACAGAGCATTGCCATGTACAGCACGATGCCTGAGGAAAGCAGTAGCAAGTTTTCGAACTTCCTACTCACGCTGAGTAACAAGATACGGTCATCGGCGGCTGGGATTGTATGTTCACAGCGGCGCCAGACTGCGGAGTTGGACTAATTGAACTTGCCTTGACAGACGCAACCTGCTCAGTCCAAAGTCCAGGAGGGAACGAAGCCGCTCAATGCCGACCATGCAGCCGTGGAGAGGATTATGGGCCCACCGAAGAATGCACGGGAGAAAGAGACCTGATTCGAATGCATACTCTGGCAACGGAATGCCAGAAAAAGCTCTGGGCTCACTTGGAATATGACAGCTCCGAGCGCTGATAGTACAGAGAGTCCGGCTCGACATCTGGAAAGCACAGCCCGATGAGATTGCAGAGCCTTGAATACGAGAGCGATCTGTTGCCCATGATACTGAGGCCGCCTTCTTGATTCAGGTTTCGCCTTGGGCCTTTCGCAGATCTCCTGGGCCTAAAGCTACACCAACGTCAATCTAGGGCGAAAGCGAGATCAGTCGCTTGCAAACGCGCAGCGCACCATTGAGACACAAATCAGGAAGCGCAGCCCAACAGCGACTCACCAAAACTTCGGAATGAATTGGACGTCAGTTCATGGTGGCCACGCACCACAGATTGCTGCTATCACATCAGGCACGATGGCCAAGCAGCTAGAATTGCATAGCTCAATGGAGCCCGATGCAATCTCACGACTACCCTGTCCGGTCCACAAAGAGCTGGCGGTATCGAAATATGGCTTGGCAATCAAATGCCATCGCGGCATCGGCGCGGCACAAGCCTTCGGCTCAGATGTACTTTGACAGCGGGAAGTCTACAAGCATGATGGCGTACTGAGAAATGCATGAATCGCACTCAAGATAACATCTACTCGAGTAGGATTGCCGAGAAAAGCAAAGAAGATAGCGAAACTGGCACTCCTGAACAAGAACCACTCTGTATCGCTTCTGCTATCGAGGACTGACTTTATCGCAGATACACAATCTACCTAGTCTTTGTTCAAAGTTTGGAGCTTGCCGTCGCTCGATAGCACCCTTCCCGCCATGTTTAATGTGAAGGCTGCGTAAGCAAAGGGCCGATCATCGACGAAGTCAAAGGGACAAGACCTGGTAGGAAATTTTAGCAGGACGTAGTACAGCCTGTCATTTGAAGACAGTAGAAAACGTGCAAGCGTCCTCCACAAAAAATGTGAGACAGCTACGTGAGCAGCCCGAAAGTTTGGGAAACCGTCGAACATCGTTTGGCTTGGCAAGCATGACGAAATCGATCCGCGGAAAGTCGATATGGCTGATACACTTCACGTCGTCACTTCTTATCTAAATAACAACCTATAGCCTTCTGACCCGACACCAGAAGATAACCCTGCATTGACACTACCGCAGATAGGTCGACACATCCGCGAGAACATCCCAGACTAGGACATTCTTCGGGCAGCGAAAGAATTGCAGTCGTCCCCTGAATCACCCTGCAAGCTTCGCAATACTGAACACGCGTACGACGCGTTTCGAGGGGCTCCGTACCAATGTTCAAACAACAAGCCCCAGTCAAGAGTAGCTTGTTCAGCCTTTGCAATAGTGAACACGCGTTTCGAGACGTTCCGTACCGCTATTCAGATCCCCGGCAATCGAAGCTTATCCGATGAAACTGCACAGTGTTTGCAGGTCTATGCTTGATGCGATCAAAGTGATCGGCGACTACTACTCTTCAATTAGCAAAGTCTCCATGGCAGGTGCTTTTTGATCCTATCTGCACTTCGCATCCTCGCCTCACATCATTCGTCCCGCTGTTCCGGCTGAAATGCGACTACATATTTCTGCCAATTTGAAGATTTCCCCGAACCCAACCGCTCTGCAAACGACCAACTACTGGTCGAGCAGTTTCGTGGCCGCCGTTCGTCATGTCCGATCACCCTACTGGTTCAGCGAAACCGGATGGAACAATGCATGGACCTCGTCGATCCGTCACAGCACCTGAGTTGGCTCAAGCGCTTGGGCAACTTCCGTCTTCACGTTGGAAATGGTTCCCAGGCGTAGTAGAAGAGAAGTCGAAGTCGCCGAGAAAATCTGTAGACAACCGACTGAACGACCTCGATGCAGAAGCACAACATCATCACCGTGGTGAAGGTCAGGCGGAGGACGTGAGTACATATAGTCCCTATGGCATCGCTAGCACATTGACATTCACTCAGTCAGGCCAAACGACCGACGAGGCGAAGGACACTGACAACGACGCCAGAGATGATCCCGACCTCGACCTCGAACTCAGACCTATCACATCAACAAGAAACTGGGTAGTAAGAAACCTGTCGCCTCCACCCCGACGACTACCCAAGTCTGGAGCATGGCAAACATACTTCATGCAAGAAGTCGCAGGCGACAAGTATCTCGAAGCGCAACTCCTCCTTATGACGATTGTGACTGGCGCCCTTGATGTAATGACCTACATGACCTACCGCGTCTTCGCATCGAAACAGACTGGCAACACACTCTTTCTCGCTCTATACGCCATGGAACTTCCAGCACTAGATCCCGGCGTCGAGAAGAACGTAGGAGTTTCGATGGGCGTCTTCATCGGCGGAGCAGTATTCTTCGGACACATCGGACACATCTCTCGACAAAGACGAAGAATCTGGTTACTGATATCGAACTTCTTCCAAGCTGCTCTCTTCCTAGCCGCTGCTGCGATGCGATACTGGGCTTCGAGAGACGGGACGGGCCCCGGAGCGATGGGAATTCTTGCGGTATTGTCGTTCGCCCAATCTGGACAAATAGCGAACGCGCTGAATGTGGGGATGCCGGAGCTGAACACTACGATGATTACCGGAGCGTTGATACAACTTTGCACGGATCCGGAGATCTTCAAACTGCATAACCTGAAGCGCAATCGGAGGTTTGCGTTCTTCTGTTCGATGCTTCTGGGGTGTTTCCTTGGAGCAGGAGTTTTGAAGGCATCGAGCCCGAGTGCGCTTCTCGTCTTGGTTGCTTCAAGTAAGTACAAAAAGCGTGGATTGAGGTATCATGAGCGTGTATTTGCGACGGTCACTAATCTTTGTGGTGGCTTTAGTGAAAGGTGCTCTAGTATCAACATTTCTATTCAACCGCGGAATCGTCGAGAAGAAGACACATCTAGAAAACGGAGAGAAGAAAATCGAAGGCCACGCCACACCCGTCACAAGAGTCCTTTGGGGAGATTGAGAGGCAGCACATCGTACTGTGATGTGCGAAGAGCAGAGTCTACTTGGGATGCAACGGCGGCACGAAGTCATCGTGCTTGGACAGAAGCCGAGAAGCGGACATGTGCACATGTGGATGACTGAACATGCTTGGACAGCAGAATTTTCCTATCGTTGGCCCGGATGCGGGGTGCTACAGTTGGCACTTTACGGGAGGTCCCATTAGAGATACACCAACGATACGGGGACGTCGTTACTTGGCGAGTAGGTGAGCCATCTACAACCGCTCACACGAAAACCAGATCAGGCTTAGACAGCACGATTTCATTTGAAGTCAAGAGAAAAGAGGCCCATTGTCCTCTTCAAAAGGCTTCCACTCCAGCAGACTGCATGACAGCCAGTGGAACCACAACTCAACACATCAAAACTACCATTCTCCCAATGGAGAACTCCATCCCCACCATCCACCCGCCTCCCTCCCCTC